CTGACTCTAAAGAACTTACATCCATAGGAGGTACAACACCCAAAACATCAGACATATGATCAGATTTAAATTCGGAATATAACTCGGGATTAGAATGAAGATCAATGTCAATATCAAAATCAGATTCGGATTCGGTGCATGCAAAAGAAGTATACAGATCGGAAAGAAAACAATGTTTCCTAGCATGTAAGGAATGAAAATCGAAACATACTCATCAATAACATCATCAATGATCTCAACACGAAAAACGAATGACACTCGGATGGATGTTTCATGGCATCCAGAATATTGAAATGGACAATAATATCACCAAATTCCATGGACAATGTACCATCATACACATCAATCTTGGTTCGGGCTATTTTTAAAAATGGTCTGCCTAAAATGATTGGGACAGATCCATGGGAGAATCCCTCCTCCATATCAAGCACATAGAAATCAGCAGGAGAAATGAGTTCACCAACCCGAACTAAGACATCCTCAATGAAACCTGTAGGGTGGGCTACACTCCTATTTGCCAGTTGTATCACCACACCCATAGGTTGCAGAGGTCCAAGAGATAAAGAATTAAAAATGGACAAAGGCATAACATTAATTGAAGCACCCAAATCAAGCATGGCATTCTCAAATTTATTATTGCCAATAATACAAGGTATGCAGAATGTACCTGGGTCCTTACATTTCTCAGGAATGTAAGGAACATATTTACCTATCAAAGCAGACACATTTCTACCCATGCTGATTGTCTCACTGCCCTTCATCTTCCTCTTGTGGGTGCACAGCTCCTTCAGGAATTTAGCATATCTGGGAATTTGCAGAGGTATGTTCACCTCAATTTTCTTGAATTTCTCTAGAATCTCTTTATCGACCTCTTCCATCTTTTTGCTTGGAATTGCTTTGGGAGGGAATGGAAGAGGGATAGGAGGTTGTTGCAGGTCAGAACTGGGGCTGGAAGAAGGTCCATCTATATGCAATTTTCGGCTACTAACTGGTTGCTCAGGTGCAGGAACTGAGGCAGCTACTGATGAGGGTGGAGGTGTTGCAGTGGGTATGTCAATCTGTTTCCACGACCTCAATGTGATGGCACTCACATTCTTAGGATTAACCACGGCTTGTGCAGGGAGCTTGTCTGAATTTTGATTTTGCAATTGATTCACAGCAGTAGCTAGTTGACCAATCTGGTTGGTTAAACTCTGAATGGAGGCATCATTTTTCTGTTGGTACTGTATGTTCATCTCAGCCATTTGTTTGACCAATTCCTCTAATGAAGGTGAAGAAGGTTGAGGAGCTGGTGCTTCATTTTGCTGCCTCGATATTGTTGTTGCATTGGTGGAGGCACATAAGGTCCGCTTGGACCAGCGAGATTCGAAATGGTGGTGGTGGCAAAGGATTTTGCTTGTTGTTGGTGCTCGCTGATTGAACCATCTCAGATTTGGGTGATTCCTCCACCCTGGATTGTATCTATTGCTTGAGAGGTAAGAATTATGTTGTTGGTTCGGAGCCCTATTATTGAAAATGTTTGTCTGCATAAGCTTGTGGAGCTCCGAACCCGTAGACTCATGCAATAATTGGCGGCAATCGGTGGGATGCTCAATTGAAGTACAAATGCCACAAACCCTTGCAGGTGGTGCAGGTCTTTGATTTGCGAGCAAGTTAGGAGACTAGGGTGGTGAGGGCATCAATCTTACTTTCTAGCTTCTTCTCCACTAAATCCGATGAACCCACATCATGTACACCTCTAAGGACTATGGCATCACTCCTCATGTTAAATTGTTGGGAATTGGATGCCATCTTCTCAATTAAACCTCTAGCGGCCAGCAGGTGTCATGTCTCCTAAAGCTCCTCCACTAGCTGCATCTATCATACTCCTATCCATTGTGTTCATCCCCTCATAAAAGTATCTGCAGACGGTAGGCTGTTCGATATTTGGTGGTGAGGGCAACTTGCACAAAGTCTCTTGAACCTCTCCCGATACTCGTATAAGCTCTCTCCCATCTGTTGCTTGATACCCGATATATCCTTCCCGATGGCGGTGGTCCCGGAAGCGGGGAAAAATTTCTCTAGAAAGACTCTCTTCGAGATCATCCCGACTCGTTATGGAACCAGGAGCTAAGTAGTATAACCGAGTCTTTGGCAAGATCCTCCAAAGAGAAAGGAAAATCCTTCAGGTATATGTGATCTTCAGGAACATTTTGTGGCTTCATGGTGGAGCAGACTATATGGAACTCCTTGAGATGCTTGTGTGAATCCTCACCGGCACGACCATGAAACTTGGGCAACAAATGGATTAGTCCAATTTTAAGCACAAATGGTACATGCTCTTCAGGGTATTGGATACATAAATTTGCATAAGTGAAATCAGGTGCAGCCATCTCCCTGAGAGTCTTCTCACGAGGTTCAATAGGTTGATCACCCATGTTATTAGTTTGGAAATTATTAGAAGAAGGTATATTAGGTGCAGTACTCTCACTATGACTATCTAATGGTTCAGACTCAAGAGATGAATTCCTAGAATGTCTAACTAATCTATGAAAGGTTCTGTCTATCTCGGGATCAAAAGGTTGTAAAAGGTCGGGATTGCTCCTAGTCATGCACTATATTCAACAATTCATGTATTTCCCAAGAGTTAAAAAAAAATTCCTAAAAAAATCAATTGTTTCTCTGGAATGACAACGGTAGACCGTGAACAAGTACACCGGGTAGGTTCCCGGGAAAGAGAGGTGGGTCACTAATGGACACGCTTAAGTACCAAGTCTTTCCTAGCCAGAACCCTCCTAGACATGCACTCTCACACTACCAAGCTATATCCAGAGTTTCCTATGAGAATGGATATTATAATTTTTTTAAAATAAAGCTAGAAAAACAAATTAGAGATGAAATTGTTTTTGAATTATTATTATATATATATATATATATATATATATATATATATATATTTTAACCCAAAAGAGTTTTAGAACAATAGTGGGCTATCAAAATAGTATTAAGAGAAGTAAGAATGTTAAATTAAATAGAAAATCAAATAAAATATTCAATTAACTGAAAATCAAATAAAATATCCAAATAACGACAAATCAAATAAAATATTCAAATAATTGAAAATCAAATAAAATATTTAAATAACTAAAAATCAAATAAAATATCCAAATACCAGCAAATCAAATAAAATATTCAAATAACTGAAAATCAAATCAAATATTAAAAACTAGCAATCAAATAAAATATTTAAATAACTAAAAATCAAATAAAATATCCAAATAACTGAAAATAAAATAAAATATTCAAATAAAATAAAATAAAAACAAAAAAACGAAAACATAAACAAAAAATAAAAATTGAAAACCTAGACAAAAATCTTGGTCCCAGGCAATGGCGCCAAATTTGATCGATGTCGTACTTCGGTCAAATAATTAAAACATATAAATGTAGTACTAGGAAGCTTTCCTAGGTTGTCTCCCAAAGACCACGAATTTCTTTCAAAGCTTATCAATTTTTAAAATTAGAATAGTAAAAAAAAAGGAGTTTTTTCAAAATTAAAATATTAGATGAAACAGAACAAAAGAAGATAAAAATGCGGATTAAAAACATATTAAAATGCAATTGATTTCCTGATTCTAATGCAGTGTCACTTATCCTAGATTACGAAATTAATTCGAAATTTACCAACTAAGCGAAGATAAATCCCAAATTATATTCTAATTCGAAATTAATCAACTAAGCGAAGATTAATCTCAAATTAGCTTTAACCCTTGTTCCAATATGAAATTAACCAACTAAGCGAAGATTAATCCCAAATTTTCCTTAACCCTTATTCCAACATGAAATTAACCAACTAAGTGAAGATTAACCCCAAATTATCCTTATACAATTAAGCATTGCATACATCACATAATCTCATATCTAACACAGAATTAAGCAAACTGTGATACTAGTTTCGGTTTATTAAGCATAAATAGATTATAATTCAACACTGAGATTAGAAGATGAAGAGTTAAGAGAACAAATGAAATGAAATTGAATAAACAAAACCTCAAAGATCTACTTGCATTCTTCTCAGAAAATCAATACAAAGATTTAGCTATCCATGGAAAGTTGAAAACGCAATAGAAGAAACATAATTAAAATCGAAACAAGAATTTAAAAATAATGACAGAAGAGTAAACAAACTTGAATATAAATTGCAGAAGATGAAAGGTGGAAGTGTGGTGGCTGCGTAGTCCTTGTGTGATGTGTCTCTTTTATATAAATAACCCTAACCCTAATCTTAATCTAGGTTTGGGCCTAACTGATCCACAAAACACATCACAAGTTGGTTTCAGTCAGGTCCGTGAACTTCAAACACGTGCAGTATTTGCAATACTTATCCAAATAAAGTGATTTTGGTCTCCTTTGAAAGCCTTTTGAGATAGCTTTAAAACGCCACTATTTATACTATTTTCGGAGGTCTAATGAATTTAGGAGACTTAAATTACTGAAGCATGTCCATTGGGCCGGCCTGGTGTGCTTGACCCGTTTTGGATAATTTATGTAAAATCCAATTTAGCTTCGAATTGAATGATTTTGAACCGTATAGAAGGCTGAATGTGTCCAATTTATAATGCTTTTAGAATCATGATTTGTGGATATCTATAGAAAAAAATAAAAAATAAAATAGTTAACTAATGTTAGTACTCATATTGAATAAAATATGACATTTGACCCAATTTTTCAAGCCCAAAATTGTTTTAAACTGTAATATGGCATCTGGCCCAATCTTCTAGGCCCAAAATTGCTTTAACAGTCCTAAAATTAATAATGAACAAAAATTAGATCAAATAGATTCAAATTAATTAAAATCTAAATTATTGGTCCGATGAAGCCCAATTAGTAAAAATTCACTAATAATAGAAAGTTAAGCCCAAAACACTAATTAAGATAAGTACATAAAGATAAGAAAATGCGGAAAATAATGGCTCATCACTTATATTGTATAAACAAGTTAAATTTCATTCTTTTAAAAATTATCTAACGACGCCGTCGGGGAACCGTATGTGAAAGACCGCGTACCGGGCTCGGGCCGGGGTGTCGGTCTGGGCGGCGGTGGAGGAGCAGATGACGAGGTTGTCGAAGAGGAGCGCAAGGCGGAGGCTCTTGTAGCAGACGCAGAGCGCGAAGTTGGGGTTCCCGAGAACAACATTAACGTTGAACGTCGCTGTTAGCTCAGCGCCAGTGTTTGTGGCGAGGGAGGTGACGGTGAGGGACGTTAGTTGAAAGTGTTGTAAATTAAGGTGTATTGCAAAACAGAGAACGTGTTCTCACACGTTGCAGAAAACTGTTTCAGAGCACGTGTTCTCACACGTTGCAGAAGACTGTTTCAGAGAATGTGTTCTCACACGTTGCAGAAAACCGTTTCAGAGCACGTGTTCTCACACGTTGCAGAAGACTGTTTCAGAGAACGTGTTCTCACACATTGCAAAAAACTATTTCAGAGAACATTGCAGAAGACTGTTTCAGAAAACGTGTTCTCACACACGTTGCAGAAGACTATTTCAGAGAACGTTACAGAGAACGTTACAGACCCACTACCAAGTCTTCGATAACTGTTACAAACTTTCTCTTATAAATAGAGACCACTTCACACTCTTCAGGACACACCTCTCTCATCTTCTCTTCTCTGATCTTCTTTCTGTGATCCTGGGTTAATTTACTCATTTTGAGAGTTTCTTGCTAGTTTCTGAGATCCTCGGATATTCCGAGAAGTTCTTGTTGTATCCTGGAGGACTTGCGCAATACATCGCGGATAAGTGCTTAAGGGCAGTGATTATACATGCCTCAGGAATAAAGTTTGCTCGTATCTTTGTCAGCTCTTACAACAATCTTAAGGACTTATGGCTGGCAGTACGAATATCAACAACTTCCTTCAACAGTTTTAAAATATTGGATAGTGAAAGAAAGGGAATTATGAAGTGCTCATAGATCAAGGTTAGTCTTCTGATTATGATTTGTGTATGTTATTATGTGAGAATCAATTCATGTATGTTATTATATGATTATATGTATGTTATTATGTGAGAATAAAGAATCTAAACGTAGTTTTACAGAATTAGTAACATATAAAACTACAAATTAAAATACATGTGGTATCAGAGCCATACTTATTAGATCTATGATTTTTCTCTTATGATAATTTTTAAATTATGTTTTTCCCAAAATTGAATAAAGGAATAAATCCTAATCTATGTTTTAAGCTGCAATCAATTTCAAATTGAAATTAATTTCATAGCCCCTGTGTGAATGACACTATAATTCCTATTGAAATGTGAATGACCCTGTAATTGATTTTAATAGAAAAAGCAAATTATGTGATTGGGTTAAAAGTGAATCATATATGAAATTGATTACTGCATGTTATAATTATGATGAAAGAAAGGTAAACTTTTAGATCAAATGCTATCAGCATACACCATGCAACTTGTCCATAGAGCACACGTGTCAAACACAGGTTCCTTCTCGGATTTATTGGGGTGAGAGATTTGTTTTGGTAGTGAACAATTAACAATTACGTGTGCATGACTTAGATCTACTTATTATTTTGTACATATGTATAGGATATTATTTTGTCTGCATATTATTTTGTACATACATGTATAATATTATTTTGTCCATATAATATCTTGTACATACGTATAAGAAAGGGTTTAAGGTTATGAGACTGTATTAAAGCAATGAATCTAACCCCACTTTATCTTCAAGGAGAAGGAAAATTATTTTTCTGTGGAAAGTCAAGTCATCACGCATCTCAATGCAAATATAGAATAAGAAACGACAATCCTCCTAAGGCAAATTTAGCCAAAGGAGAAGATACCATTATTGTGGTCGTTTCCCAAATAAACCTTGTGACAAATGTGAGCAAATGGGTGGTAGACTTTGGTGCTACCAGGCACATCTGTGCAAACAAAAGTGCTTTTACCTCCTATACTAATGTTGGGGATGGAGAAGAACATATTTATCTCGGTGATTCCAGGAAAACTCCTTTCTTAGGAAATGAAAAGTTCTTCTAAAACTCACATTTGGAAAGACTCTGACCTTGAATGATGTGCTACATGTGCCATTAATTGGACCTAATCTAATCTCTGTAGCACTGTTGGGAAAAGTTTGGAAAGTTGGGTTAAAGTGTCATTCGAATCTGAGAAGATTGTTATAACAAAAAACATGTATTTGTAGGGAAGAGATATTGTGACCAAAGCCCTTGGTTGTTAATGAGTCTTATTCTTCTGCTTATATTATTGATTCATATGATCTGTGAGATTTATAGATGATTACTCTAGATACACCAAAGTATATTTAATCAAACATAAAGATGAAGCATTTGACATGTTCTTAACTTACAAAGCGGAAGTAGAAAATAAACTAAATAGGAAAATTAAAAGGATTAGGTCAGATAGAGGTGGTGAATATACAACATTTAAAGATTATTGTCTTAAAGAAGGTATTGTTCACGAACTAACCCCACCTTATTCACCCGAGTCTAATGGAGTAGCTGAGAGAAAAAACAGAACTCTAAAAGAAATGATGAATGTCATGCTTATTAGCTCTAGTGCACCTAATAACCTTTGGGGAGAAGCTCTACTTACAACGTGTTTTTTACAAAATAGGATACCACATAAGAAAACAGGTAATACTTCCTACAAGTTATGGAGAGGTTATAAACCTAATCTTAAATATTTAAGAGTGTGGGGGTGCCTAGCTAAGGTAATGTTACCCAATCATAAGAAAAGGAAAATAGGTTCTAAAACTTTTGATTGTATGTTCCTAGGCTATGCAGAACATAGTGCTGCCTATAGGTTTCTTGTCCTCAAAAGTGATGTAATTGAGCATAATACTATAGTAGAGACAAAAAATGTTGAGTTCTTTGAACATATTTTTCCTCTAAAGGTTAGTGAGACACCTAAACAATCTTTAAAGATTAATAGTGATAAAATATATGAGGATTTGAGGAGAAGTAAAAGACAGAGGAAGGAAACCTCCTTTGGAGATGATTTCTACACTTATCTAGTTGAAAATGATCCAATGAGTTTTTTAGAGGCTACTAGGGCTCCTGATGCAATACATTGGGATAAGGCCATTAAGACTGAAATTGATTCAATTAAGAAAAATAATACTTGGACTTTGGTAGATTTTCCTAAAGGAACAAAACCTATTGGTTGTAAGTGGATCTTTAAGAAAAAGTATCATTCTGATGGATCCATAGATAAATATAAGGCAAGATTAGTAGCAAAGGGTTTTACTCAAAAATCCAACATTGATTATTTTGACACCTTTGCCCCTGTGACTAGGATTTCCTCTATTCGAGTTTTGTTAGCTCTAGCAGCTATCCATAAACTAGTTATACACCAAATGGATGTTAAGACAACCTTTTTGAATGGTGAATTAGAGGAGGAAATTTATATGACTCAACCTGAAGGGTGTGTTGTTCCAGGTCAAGAGAACAAAGTGTGCAGACTTTTAAAATCCTTATATGGATTAAAACAAGCACCAAAACAATGGCATGAAAAACTTGATAGTGTTCTACTTTGTAATGGCTTTTCAACTAATGATGCTGATAAATGTGTGTACTCTAAATTTGAGAGTGGTGAATGTGTCATTATATGTTTATATGTAGATGATATGCTAATATTTGGTACATGCATTGACATTGCCTCCAGAACTAAGTTGTTTCTGGGATCTAAATTTGAAATGAAAGATATGGTTGAAGCCAGTGTGATTTTGGGTGTTAAAATCATAAGGAAGGGCGATAGTATTTTTCTATTCCAAGAACAATATATTGAGAAACTTCTTAGGAAGTTTGGGTGTTATAACGCCAAACCAGTGAATACCCCTTATGATGCTAACTCTAAGTTAAAGAAAAATAGAGGAGACTCAATCTCTCAACCTCAGTATGCCCAGGTAATTGGGAGCTTACTGCATTTAATGAGCTTTTCTAGACCTGACATTGCTTATGCAATAGGTAGACTAAGTAGGTACACTCAATTTCCTAATCAAGAACATTGGAATGCACTTACAAGACTTATGAGATACTTAAGAGGTTCAATGGATTATGCCATTGAATCTAGTGGATTTCCCGCTGTACTAGAAGGATACAATGATGCTAACTGGATTTCTGATTCAGATGAGACAAAATCCACTAGTGGCTATGTATTCACACTCGGAGGTGGTGCGATTACATGGAAATCATCCAGACAAACAATTATTGCAAGATCAACAATGGAATCTGAATTTGTTGCTCTCGAAATGGCTGGTAGTGAAGCTGAGTGGTTGAAAAATGTCTTAGTAAACATTCCATTAGGAATGAAACCGATCCCATCTGTATCAATACACTATGATTGTCAATCGGCAATAGCTATAGCAAAAAATAAGAACTACAATGGAAAAAACAGACATATACAGTTGAGACATAATTTAGTGAAGCAGCTGCTAAAGAATGGAACAATCTCCATTGACTATGTGAAGTCAGAACGGAATCTAGCAAATCCTCTGACAAAACCCTTAGCGAGAAATATGATTTTAGAAACATCGAGGGGAATGGGCCTTAAGTAACTTGCAAACAAACAGGTGATGGTAACCCAACCTTTGTGATTGGAGATCCCATGAATAAGGTTCATATGGGTAAAAACAAGTCACTTGTTAGTTCTGCTAGCACTAAAATTGATTAAAATCAATTATGTCCATTCCTATGGTGTATATGTGAAAGTGCTAGATACTGCATCATTGAGAGGTTTAACTTTGTAATTAAAATTCTATGTGGTGTATGAATTTTAGTTTAAACAAAATTTTTAAACGATTTCATATCCCTTAAGGGTGGTGTATGATTTGCAGCATACGCTTGATGAAGTCACCTATATGAGTGTCGAGTGGGGCCGCTTGTACGAGATCTTTACAAGATTTCTAGAGCACTCATGAATACTAGGCACGCGCATGGCCTAGTAAGTGCAACATAGCGATAATAGCAAGAATTGTGGGGGTGTATTGTGATTATTAAAACCGCTAACACACATTAAGTGTTTTGGTTCATATAGCTTGCTACACCAACTACACTGTGTGTTAAGTTTTTTAGTCTAAGACTGGTTCATATAGCTTGCTATACCAGCTCTGATGCATTACATCTTATATGAGACCCAAGATTTTCTTCTTTTATTTCTTTTATCCCCTTTTGTTTTGC